TCCATCCATCCATCCATCCATCCATCCATCCATCCATCCATCCATCCATCCATCCATCCATCCATCCATCCATCCATCTTCCGCTTATCCGGGGTCAGGTTCAGTAAGGAGGCCGAGACGTCCCTCTCCCCAGCCACTTGGTCCAGCTCCACCAGGGGAATCCCAAGGCGCTCCCAGGCCAGCTGAGAAACATAGTCCCTCCAGCGTGTCCTGGGTCTCCCCCTGGGCCTCCTTCCGGTGGGACGTGCCTGGAACACCTCACCAGGGAGACGTCCAGGAGGCATCTAATCAGATGCCTGAGCCACCTCAACTGGCTCCTCTCGATGTTGAGGAGTAGCGGCTCTATTCTGAGTCCTCCCTGGATGACTGAGCTCCTCACCCTATCTCTAAGCGAGATCCCAGACACACTATGGAGAAAACTCATTTCAGCCGCTTGTATCCGGGATCTCGTTCTTTCGGTCATGACCCAAAGCTAATGACAATAAATGAGAGTAGGAACGTAGATCGACCGGTAAATCGAGAGCTTTGCTTTTTGGCTCAGCTCTCTCTTCACCACAACACACCGGTACAGCGCACGCTTCACAGCAGACGCTGCACCAATCCGCCTATCGATCTTCCACTCCATCTTCCCCTCATTTGTGAACAAGACCTCAAGATATTTAAACTCCTCCACTAGGAGGAGCTAGCTCTCACCCCTGGCTGCTTTCGTTTACTTTGCTGAATTGACGTGCACTTGTAGGTCGTTGGCACCTTTATTTGCCACAGACATATAAGTGCCTGCCTTACATGTCAAATACTCCACCCTGGCGAAAACACAGGACTCTTTTCTTTAACTCATAAACATACACTTTCATTTAGGAATTGTCGTAAAACTGGCAGACACACACGTGCTATCGCCTGTCACACTCAGGGGTAGACTAACAGCAAGCAAACTCTTTACTTTTCCCACACACACATAATGCAAAGTGATTGGATTTGGGGAAAAGGGCGTGACTAATTTGCTATACAGAGAAACCTAGAATGAAGTAGTGGAACGGAGTGGCAATCTAATCACAATGCACTGTAGGCTATGAAATGTGTTTGAGGCAGTCGACCAAAATCCTGGAAGATTTTGAAATTCCCCCCAGATATTTTTTTAGGTCTGAAAAGTAGGAAATGTCCTGGAAAAAGAGGACATCTGGTCACTCTAGCTTAAATGTATCTACAGTTTGCTCTGATGGAGCCAACAGAACATTGAAAGATTCCTGGATAGGTTTCGAACCATCTTCAAACACTGAGAAAAACTCTGGTTGCCTTCCAGTGGAAGCCTGCCATGACCCGATGACTGAGAGAGTTAAACAATTTACAGAAGGTTCAGGCTATTATGAGCAGCATCAGCAATTGTTTTCAATTAATGACATTAAACAGCTGAGGCGTCTTTATGGAGTAATGCATTAATCCCTGTTTGACATGTTGGGTCTAAGTCAAACCTTTAGTTTCTCTAACATTCCCCATGCTTTTGCAGTTTGTGAGACTAACTAATTAGTTAGTCTCAAAAGAGTTTTTCTCTCCACCTTTTTCTTCCCATCTTGTAAATAATTCAAATATTTCGGATCAAAATATGCTAAAAGCACAGTAAACATAGGACCTATGAGCAGTATCATCAGTTTCTCAGCTGTGGTTGCCGGGCCACGGTTGAGCCGTCCTTCTACTTTACATTTCTGCAACTCAGCATTCATAGCTCCACGGTTCCTTCATGGGCAATGAATTCTTAATATATGTTTTTCCCTGCATCCCTCATTGAATGTTTTTTCTTTTCTAAAGAGAGCTTTATACTGTTATATTTTTATGTATGTTTCTTATTTCGTTTTTTCCTCCCACTCAGATGTTGTTAGGTTTTTTTTTTCTTTTTTAGGTTTTTAAAATGTCACATAAACTTTGTTATGGTATCAATAAATCCTTTTCTGTTCCAGAGGGGTTTTTTGACAAATTTGTAAATACCATTTTACTAGAAAAGTACTTTTAAAGGTTGTACTCAATGTTATTTTGTTTTACTCACTCAACATTTATGAAACATTTGGGGTCAAATAGCGAACAAACAAAGAAACAACATTGATTTGCAAAATGACCACACTATATGAGCCCAGTTCTTTAAAGTGGGAGTGATATCTGTGCGCAAAAAAGAAAAAAACATATTTAAAGTCGCAGGGAAGTCATATTTAAAGGTCAAATCATTATTTCTTAAACGTGTATATAAATGTACTCTTTATCAGATGATATTGTCCCAAAATTTAGAAAATTAGTATTAAAAAAAAACAATCCTGTCTTAAAATCTGTGTTTCTCTTTCATTCTATTATGCAGGCCAGTTAGTTATACCTCAGCCTGAACACCTAAATTCGGCCAATCATATATCAACGGTCGTCTGTCAATCAAATTTGTTCGGTCATAGCATCTTGATTCATGTGTTGCAGCTAATATACGCAACGGTTGAAATCAGAATAATTTCCTTTCCCATTGAGTTCCGTCCCAGTGTTCATGGGGATGGATGTCTGTGTCTTCAGCAGGCGTAGAGCTAACAGAACTGGCAGCGTTGCGAGGCAAGGGCTCAAACATGTACGGCTGTAAGCCTTCTACACCAAACCAAGCTTCTGCCGCCCTGGCGTCCTCTTCCACAACATCTTCATCCCCACTTTCCTCCTCTAAATAAAAAATGGATGACAGAGGAGACTCATAGTGTCGTTTCTAAGTAACCAATTTAGTGCTACTTGGTCCCAATGGAATTTCCCGTTGGGAACCTACTAGCACTAAGTTGCTAACTGATTAGCAAGATGCTTCCAACAAACCGGCCAACAACAATCCCGCCCCCTTGATAAATGACCAATCACATTCACTTTATTCACTCGTGTAAAGTCGTGCAACACTTAGGAATAATTTGAAAATGCATAGATCTATAGCCCCTAGTGGCTAAAAGCTAACTGTGTTGCTTTGAAGGGATCCATGATTAGTTTAACAAAGCAGTGTCTCATGTCTAAATTTACATCAGTCAAACATGATCAAATCAAAAACAGCTCTGCTAATGTTAGCCTTCCTTTGTTTGCTTTGTAGGTTCCAGTCCAGTAGGACCTAACACAGTCATCAACCCAGCATGCATTGCACAAGTGAAAAATGATAGCCTACGTTGAGGAAAAATATAAATTTTTATAGTTTATGTAAATTACATTTTCAAATATGACAAACAGAAAATTTTTAACTAATAAGAATATGACAACATATTTAGGGGAACATTTTCAACTAGTGGTAGATCCCTTCAACAGTTAATTGTCCACTTTGTGGATCATTGAATATAATAACCCGACCAGGCAGACTTTTAAGGTTTTACAATTTGTTAGAACAAACTGCCAGGAAACACGTTCCTCTTTTGTAGTTTAAAACTTCTGTTGCTGAAAAAGCCTGGTTCAGAACATAAGCATGGCATTTTTTAACACAGTAGTTATGTTTACATGAGCACAAATAATCAGACTGAAGGCCTGCTCAGATCAAAAATGTGTTGTCAAACCATGTCAGACTGAAGATTCTGATTAGGTTCGATTGGAAAGAGAAAAGGTTGAGAAAGGGGATTTTTTCCTAACTCTATTCCAGTTGGCATCCATCTACACACCCAATTGGATGATTGGATCATTGGGTGTGTAGATGTATACGCCTGAAAGTGCGCATGCATATCTGTTGTGAGCTACAGTAACAGCCATTCAAAATGTCCCTTCCCAGTCAAACGCCAGCCAAAGTGCAGCCCTCTACCCTCCAACTCCCAGCGAAATCCCCTCCAACTTCCAGCCACTGGAGTGACCTTCTCTTGCATATTTTTCACTCTGACTCCACCGTTTTACTGTATAACACGATCTCACCAGGAGATCATGCTTCTCTTTAGATATTAATGTCCAGAAATTGTGACAGAAAGAATATTTTTATACAAATATCAATGTTTAAAAAGTAATAAAAGGGGACCAGCCGAGGATCCATCGAGGAAAGTGGGAAAATTTTGAATGACTATTACTGTATGGTTTCACCTTTTTCCCTGCAGTTCTTTGAAAATGGCCGAGGGTCGTAAGAGAAAAAGTGTCTACGAAGTGTATAAGAG